TTTTTTTTTTCGACGCCGTGCGGAAGGTCTGACACCCAAAAAACAAATATGGGCGTGTAGGGCTTTTTCAGCCCTACACGCCCATATATATATATATTTTTTTCACGTCAAAAATAGGGAAAAAAAATTATGTACGAAACTCGGCTGGTCGGCCCAAGCCGAACCGGGCCGATTCGGTTATTGGCCTAGGCCGCGGCCGACTCAGACCCACCGACCGCGGCCGGGTGTGCAACATAGCGTGGCGCTGTCCACACTGTCTCCATGAGGTGACTGGTTGAGTGAAGGAGGAGCTAAAAAAATGCAGAAATTGAACTAACCCCTATTGCTGTAGCCCGTGTCGAGCAACTAAAGCAATTACCTGTCAAACTGAAACTCAGACTCAGTAGTATTCTCACTCAACCACATGCAAGACCAAACCACAAAGGTAAGTACTCTCACCAACCCCAAAGTTAACATTGTCAAACAATAGTTCATAGTCTTTTAATGATTTGTCCCTTATACCCAGCTTACATAAGGCGTAAAGCTAGACCACCCAATCTTATGGGAACTTGTCTAGCTCAACCATTGAATATACACAAACACAGGGCATTACAACTTTTCTCTTCCTTGGGCATATGACTAGGCTGTTCACCCTAGTGACCCATAACTGTTTAAGTATCTAAGTTATATATAATTGTCTGCCCTTAGTCTTTTAAGGTAACATATGACTGAACCGATCATCTTAGATTAAGGTTCAGTCTGCCCCTTCTTACCACAAGTTTATTCTTAATTCATACTCTCTTCAGTTAATCGGGATCTGTGGATGAAGGAGGTCGGGTATTCACCTGAGGTTGACGTCGTCTCTGGATTCTATTGAGTCTTCATGGTCTTCACGAGATAAAGTGCCACGTGACACTATTGTGTGTGATGAGAAATATGCTTCTTATCATTGTTAACGTAGAGAAGGAAGAAGCCGGGAGAAGGAGAGGGATCAAAAGGGATATTTACGTGATCTTTCATCTTCTCCTTTGTCTGTTCCCCCTCCACTCTCTTCTTGTGACGATAATGAGTTATTGTTTGAGTTATTACTTCACGATTTAAAGACTTTGATGTAGATAATGAGAGTACTTGTGTTTGACGACTTCTTAGTATCTTCTAGACAGGGTTCATTACATAATATTATGTTTTATGTATATTTATTTTATGTGTATTGTTGATAATGTATTATCTATATATATAATCTAATTCTAAATTAATAATAAATAGATGTATAACAATATAAGATATTTTTTTTTTAGATAAATGTAAATGTATACAGATATCGGTTTGATGAAATTAAGGAGAAATAAGGATGTTGACCATTTCTGTTCAATGTCTAATGAAGGGGACTTATGCGAACTCGTACATGCGCTACAACTCGCCGACAACGCGACCTATCATGTACACATGCGCTCGCATAATCCTTTTCCATCGGGCCTGCAAATATCAATCTGCATAGGTAGGAATGACCACCACAACACGGGTCCATAGCATCAAAATTCAACATCTGTTCTCGACCACAATCGCATACACCGACTTTCGAGGCTGCGCCGGGCCTAACAACGGGAACGCCAAAAATTCGGAACACCCCCGTTTTTCGCCCGGACCTTTTGCATCCTTGTCCTTAAAACACTGACACCGGCGATCCCAGTTCTGACCTGGAACTTCGCCCCCTTTTTCCTAAAATCATTGACACACCCCCTTCTCGCTACTTCCAGACCCGCTACCCACTCCGATCAGGAAGTCGTTTCGGGCGTGAGGTTGGTATTGGAGCGCCGATACGTGCCAATCTAAGGACTACCTAGGTAATTGGTTTCCATATCTGATAGATCGGGTGAGCCCAGGTAGAGGACGATCTAAAATAAAAACGAGCCAACACGGGAACCTGTAGTTACTCGGAGTAGGTCCGTAGGAAGACAGAGGGCCAACATGAATGTCAATCCAGTAGTCAACGCTAATCAGCATGTTGTGCCAAATCCCACTGGGCACACGACATTGGCCCCTGCATGCGTGCGCGCACCAGCTGCCCCCCCCCCCCGGATCTGTACTTGCTCGACCCAGCACATCACCTGGCAGGAGCGTGGTTAGCCACCCTCCGTGCATAGCAGTACGATTATCATGAGGCTCGGATTAACATCCCTGCCTGCCTGGGAGGAGATGCGCATCACTGGTTTAGTACATACAAGTGGGTGGATCTTCGGATTTTCGAGAAGGATTTCTTACATCAGTTTGACGACAGACATTCAGATCAAGAGTTCTTCATGATAAAAAACTGAGTGCAAAAGCCTCTGTAATCTATCGCCGAATACCGTAGCAGATTTTTTCGGTTGTTTGTTAAGTCGAAACGGGATGAAAAGGTAGGACGAGATTTCTTTATTGATGGCCTCAGGAGCCGGGCGATGAGAGCCAAACTGCGAAAGCAGTTTTCTCCCATCACCCACACGATGCAACAGATCATGAACGCGGCTGAAGAAATGGAAAGGAAATTCGTCGCTAGCTTCCTGGAAGGGGAAGATCACGCCAAAGAAGGTGACTCAAAAGAGCTTGTTTGGGTTAAAGCCGAATTGGATGCGCTTAAGGATAAGTTTGAGAATATGGGCTTTGTCTCAGGACCCGTCACTTACTTGGAACAGGTGGCAGTCAGAAGGCCTGCCCCCAGTTCCAATGGTGTTCCCTTGCCAACCACTCACCGTACCTCCCCCGAACGGGGAAAAGAAGGGGGATGAATCTGGTGCAATATTAGAACTTACACGAACCTTGGTGAGTTTAATACATGAAAGTAAGAAAGAACAACGAGAATACAACGCCCGAATGGAAACCTTGATGCGCTCGATGCGCCCTATTACTGTCTGAATCCCGGCGTTTCCCATAGGGAGCCAACCGACGCAAGCAGCGGGAGGACCAGCTGCAGCAACTGCCATGAGAACGGACAGTTGTTACACGTGTCATCAACAGGGATACATAGCACGAGAAGATCCCAACCGACCCTCTCAGGCTCGGATAGGAACAACCCCCACGACAGCCGCACTCATATCAAATGGACTCGGTTGAGTCGGGACAATGGTGGAAGATGCAGACGAGATGATGACCGCAATTGCGGCCGTCGACGAGGCTGCAAAACTCATCCCCCTCGATCAATACCTCAAGCTGGGATACGAGGGATTGGGAATGATAAGAGTGGTTCAACGGGCCGCTTACGAACGAGAAGTTTTGAAGTGGAGGCCTTCGCTTAGTGAGATGGAATCAGGAGGGCCGACCTTTGTCACGAGGGAGATTGATGTGCTAGACATAGTTAGATCCCTGGATCACCGTATCCCCCT